AAATTGCCCCTTTATAGCCTGCGAACAGGCTCTCAAGCTGAATTGAGAGCCTGCATCGATGACTAATGAATTTGAATATCTGCGTCTCAAATCGTGACGCGAAATTCTCATTGGTCAGATGCTATAATTTATATGTTTCCGCTGAGCTCTATATATGTCAACTGCTGAAGCACTATGCATAAAAAACACATTAACAGATCAAATTGGTCTTGGCCATCTTATCTCAAAGCACGAAATGTTCTGTTTTGAGAAAACAGTATTTAAAACATTTGAACTTTTGCTTGAATATCTTGTATTTCGAAAAACAGTATAAACTGTACGGTCTAAATTTAGTTTGCACGGTCTAAATTTAGTTTGCACGAAAGTTGTAAACAACACCATATAAGGATAGACATTCCATATTTGGAAAAACGAACGTTACGGGGCAGATATTCAAATCCATTAGTCATCGATGCAGGCTCTCAATTCAGCTTGAGAGCCTGTTCGCAGGCTAGCCCCTTTAAACCATCCATAACTTCCACTCTATTGTATACAATTTTTCTGAGCTTTCACATCTTGTACAAAATTATATGCTCTTTTACATGGTTACTTACAAGTATGTGGTGCAAGCCTTAAACTGAACGAAAATCCCACTCAAATTGGACTGCATTACGCGCATCTGATATACCATAGTTAATAATTATACAGTGTATGCGTTGCGAGGACATTCCTGCATTTAATTTGTAGATTTTGTGCGCGCTATTCTATAGCATTTTCTTAAAATTTCATATATAGTATCAAATTATATACTCTTTCAAGTGGTTGCAAACACGTAAGTGGTGCAAGCCTAAAAATGAACGAAAATCCCACTCAAACATGACTGTACTCCGCGCCTCTTATATTATCAGTCAATTATATATGAGCTTTGAACAACTGTGTGTTCAATTGTAAAAATCTTGCCCGCTATTCTATAGGATTTTCTTAAAATTTCATATATTGTATAAAATTATATGCTTTTTCAAATGGTTACTAACACGTAAGTGGTGCAAGCCTTAAAATGAACGAAAATCCCACTCAAATTTGGCTGTATAATTACGCGCATCTGATACACTAAGCCAATTATATATGCGTTGCGAGGAACTCCCTGCATTTAATTTGTAGATTTTGTGCCCGCTATTCTATAGGATTTTCTTAAACTTTCATATATTGTATCAAATTATATGCACTTTCAAATGGTTACTAACACGTAAGTGGTGCAAGCCTGAAAATGAACGAAAATCCCACTCAAACTTGATACTGCACGTCTCATATATTATAAGCCAATTAATATATGCATGTGAGCTTTGAACAACTGTGTGTTTAATTGTAAAAATCTTGCCCGCTGTTCTATTGGATTTTCTTAAAATTTCATGTATAGTATAAAATTATATGCTTTTTCAAATGGTTACTTACACGTAAGTGGTGCAAGCCTGAAATTAACGAAAATCCCACTCAAACAGGACTGACTTAGGCATGTCAGTATTAAACCAATTATATGTGATGAGAGGAACTTCTTTTCAATTTGTGAATTGTTGCGCCAGCTTTTCTATTGGATTTGATACAGTGGTTTTTCGGGATGATTTTTAATGGCTATACATAAATGCTGGATAGTGTATCTAGTATGCTAGGAAAGCAGCACGACAACTAAGTCCACGTTTTATTTTTAAGTAGTTTATCTGAATCATAAATAGATATTTACATTTTTACTGCCCCTATTCCCGCCCCTTTTCCTTCTTTTTCCTTTTCCTTTCGGGCGAATTGGGCATTTCCACTTCTTGTGGCCCTTCTGTCTGCAGTAATGGCAAGTTATATCTATATGAGTAGGAAGGAAAACATTAATTGTATCAATTTTCGTTGAGTATTATAGTTAGTCAGTATACCTATATATATTATGGGTAAATTACTAATGCGTTGACTTGATACTGCGCCGGAGTTGTTGCGCACGTTATTTTGATTTAGTCTTACCCTCCAAGCAATTTCCTTGCTCCGGCAGCCGTGTTGGCATGTCGTTGCGCGCTAGGTTGTTAGGATTATCTAAATATACATTATATATACAACTTAAATAAGTGTTTCCACAGCAGATGTTTGCAGAAGATTGTATATGATTGTTTGCTGTGAAGAACGGAAACGGTGTATCTTTCAATTCTTTTGCCTGGTTACCAAAATAAGAAAATGCGTGTCCCAAAATTCATGTTACAATTAACAAAATGTAATTTATTTTGTTAATTAAAAAAAATTATAAAAAAATTAAGAAAAACGTAATTTATGTCGTTTTTTGTGCCTGGTGAGTCGTTCGAACAGCTTTTTCTGAATGCGCATATACCATAATATATTTAATAATGCGTGATGTTTATACTTTAAGTTTTGTGACGATTCTTTTGTTTGATGCCATATGCAGCTTAATACTATTTTCTATGTCTTTCAAAAAACGAAAAATTGCCATTTGTTTAGTACTATAGTTAAAACGTAAGCAGCCGATCTTTATGTGATATACTAACTCGATCCAAAGGCAAGAATTGCATATCAGATAAAGCTCGGATGCAAATGTTTTAACGTATGTAAAACACAACCCATCTTACTATATAAGTTCATTGGCAAAGTCATTTTAAAAAGAATAAACATTGTCTATAAGCCAAGAAAATCAAAGCTGATCGAAGTTTATGTAATATACAATATTCTATGCAACGTTTCACGAAGTACATACTCTGAAGCATCTCGTCTCCCTGAGGTATCAAAGGGCGCCTCAAGGTCTGAATTCCTCACCTGTGAAACTGAAACACGAAATCGTTTAAGTTCACAAAAATGCATGTGAACAATATGATATATATATATAACAGGTGGGAAATTTGTCGTCGCTGACCAAAAAATCGCGGGCAGAAACAAAGCTCATTGTATTTGCATTCAAAACAAAGCAGATAGTTAGCAAGAAGCTGTTTTAGCTGACGATTTTTTGCTTTCCACTCAACGATTTACAAATTATTGGTTATTCTTTTAAAAGTCGATCATGAATTCTTTGTTTTGGGATGATTGTTTTGGAATTGCGTGATTGGAAGCAGTTAATATGGCGACGTGAACATGGGAGTAAATACCATATACGTCGATCTATGGCTCGTTTAAAACCGTAATAAACGAAGAAAGACGTGATTTGAGAATGAAATGTAAGTTGAAATTAACTTTATATGCCTCAAATTTTCCATCCTATGTTTCTTAATGTAACTTCAGCTGTCTAAGTTCAAAATACAAGCTCGCGAAATTTGACAAATTTTGAAAATATGTAAAAATAGCTTGACTTTGAACTGTATTTTCTCAAAAATAGCCCGTGGCCTCAATTTCAAATATAGCTAAATGAAAAGAAAAACGTTTTCGGCGTTTGTAGGTATCAAGCATATCGTCAGGAAAATAGGGGCTCACAATGTTTTAGTTCAGTCTTTGAGACCCAGTTGCTTCGCACGTGTTGTGGTCAAATTTTTGCCAAGAATCAAAGGCCGAAATGTGAACTTCCTTCATGAAAACCGCTTCGAGAAGGGTCCAGTTTGAAAATTTAGCTATTAATTTCAATTTCATGAGCATATTTTGGTTACATGTTAAGTATTTTTGTGCTTGATGAGATTCAAAATTTGTTGTATATTCAAGGCCGGCTTTTGTGTAATTTTGGTGATGAACGGAACAGAAATAAAGATATTTAAAAAACTGGCCGTGGCCTCACGACAAAACTTTCTACAAATGTTCTCTGTTTCATGTACTTTTATTTGATATCTTAGGTATAAGCGTAAAAATAGGGGCTCATACAGTTTGAGAGGTTGTAAAATGCATGACTTGGCTCTATTTTCATGTAAACATTCGAAATTCTTCGACAGCAAAGTAGCAACTGTTTCAGATCGAATGCACACGGACAGCCCACCAGAGACAATGGCAGGGTACTGAAATAGAACGTCACTAAAAAATTCTGTATGATTAATTTAGATCCTGTCCACTCTTTCAACATAAAACAGTCATTTATTTTGTACAAACATTTGGCAATATTTACACGATTGTGCCTTTTTGTAAACACGCGTTGCGTGTATTCCTCGCAATTGTGTGACTCATTTTACTCGCGCATGCTCAGACAAATTTCCCACCTGTTTATATATATATATTTATCTAGTTAAATAACTAGATTTGAGAAATATATAGCACTTACCATTTTCATTGTTCTCATTGCTCATAGGCCTACCTCCCTGTTGGTTTTCGTTTTCCATCACGCAAGCAGAGTACAGTTTTCCAATTGGTTATGACTAGCTAATGATTTGTTGGTCTGCTTGTCACGCCATATATCAGATACATAAGTCGTGCCCAGACTGCGCGCTATTCCTGTCATATTGCATCGGTTATACCTACCCATAAGCATTTCATTGTTGATTGAAAATATGCATGCATAAATAACATACGTCATCGAATTGACATTTCTGATTATGGTAAGGAATTTGGGTGTTAGCCACCGGCAAACGTCAGTCACTTTAAAAGTCTGTTAATATAGTAGTGGTTTTGAATTTGAAATAACAATATTCATGTTTGTTATAAATTTTAGATCCATTCTCTATTACTTAAATGAAAACGTATACCCACAACCCTCAACACGAAAACACATGTTCTGTATTATCTGTAAATGACTTTAGGGATTGGTGCTGTAAATGACTGAAATAGAGGTAAGGACTAGAATGACAGGTAAATCTGTTTCCCTGCACATATGTACGATATATTAATTTGAGTATACTATAACTATTTAAATCCCTTCGAGTACTGCTGACTTTTTTATCCACATCAAGTTTTGAATTCTATAATTCAGCATCATGGTATGTATAATAAAACAAAATTATTTTAACTATGTGTTTTCGTATGCGTATAGGTATGCATATAATGAATTTTTTGGGGATTTACAGGTTTTCACGAAAACAAAGTGCTCTTACAACTTAAAGGACACGTTGGAACAGATAATTTCTGCTATGAAGGCATGCGAAGGAGAGTTACATGAAGGATGGCAAAATCCTGACGGATTCTGGGGAAATGTAACGATGAAGTGCGGACATTCCAACACCGATTATCTGCGCAGGGCAATGTACATGGTTTGGCACAAGAACACAGGCAATATTAAAGAAAAGTTCTACAACCCTGTTACTTCTACATTGGAAAAGAGTGTCAATGAAATAGTATGTACTATAAATATAAAGCCTTTTTTGTACTTTTATAGGCAAACACATTTTTACAGCACCCACAGCCATGGCATGCACGCTGCATGGCCAAATAGAGTTATTTTGAACCAAATTTAACTCCAAATGCAAAGTTAAATGTTATCTACAAATAAATGTACAGTTTCCAAATTAACGCAGCAAACTTTGTTCCCTTGTTAACATTTTTAGCTAACAAACATAGCAAAATTTCGTCAAATTACCCTGCTGCAAGTCGAATGCATTTTTCGCGTGATGAATTTCACGCGCCATAATGAAACAGTCTGCCGCTTATTGTAAGGGATATTATATTTCCAATAACACAACATTCATTGCGCATTCAAGCCGATATCTTGAAGCATAGTTAATGCTTGAAAGGAAGTATGCCATGGTGGAAAAGACCGAGTGAACTATATGTGCTATTAATTTGTAATTCACAAGCTATTTTTCATTGAAAATAAGAAACAGTCAACAATTAATACTGAATAATCGCAAGATAGCGCACTATAAGAAGCTTTTATTTATCAGCAGTTCAAAGGTCAGCTGTCGCAAATGATACTTATTGCTATACAAAGAGCCAATTATTACATCAAAACTGAATAGTATACCGACTTCTTTGCATTGTATATACCAAAATAATCCTGTCGCTCATATATACTATATTTTGATTTGAAGCAAACGCCCGAATTCACTAAAATACTCACACAAGGGGTGAATATTCTAACAGACGCATTACTGACAGATCGCGCGTGCAACACTCGCGCAAGATATCATCCAAGCGTGGGCAGACCCAGGCATTAACATGCCTGAGTGTTTTAAAGAAAAAAGATTGTATATATAGAGCAAGTAATTGAAATGGTAGTAGTCCCAATATTTAAAAAAAATGTAAGCCATGACGTAAGTTATCTGTCAGGGAAAATCAAAAGGTCACGCGTTGTCCAATCGCCTTCAGGGGACCGTCGCCTAAAGGCGAGTTAAGTCAATGGCATGGTGCTAATCAGTGGGTGGAACTGGAACCATAATTGATCCTTCCGCTTCCTGTTTGATGTTTGTGTTAATTTGGTAACATTCGAGTCCTTCATTTTTGGGCGAAATATTATAGTCTTTTGGTTCTATATGTGCAGGTGAAATTTCTAATATGCTTTGATGATTTTTATATATATCTGTCGTTGCAATGAGGAAAGCTTTACTTAAACCCATGGATGTTATAAAACATTTATTATTTTTATTATTATTATTATTATCAGCTTTCTACACCATATATAAAATTAATTGTATATATGGTGTAGAAAGCTGATAAAAATAATAAATGTTCAACGACAGACCAAGACTATAATAATATTTTGCCCAAAAATGAAGGACTCGAATCTCACCAAATTAACACGAGTTTGACTAATGGTCGCGTGTTGCGGGTAAAATGTTGCGGGTCGCGGGTAAAAAGTCGCGGGTCGTAAAAAAGCTCTAAACCATGTATTTTATTGAGTCGCGGGTTGAATAAGGTGTGTAAAAATCACATTAACATTTAGTTATTTAATGGTTTTTATCAATAGTTGTTCGAAGATGTTATGGCTGAAATTGTGATTTTCTAGATAAATATAGACAAGAACCATATAACATTATTGTAAAGCACGTTGATTGACGGTAATGCAAAAGGATCCTGTTACACATTCCTATGTTTATAGTCCTGATTTTAGTAACACATATTACCATCCAATTTCTACCATATCAGGTGTAAAAATCCGCTATTCAGTGGCTCAGTGCGCATTGTCGTCAAGCCTCTGCGCATCGATCAGTACTTTCCAGAAACAAGTGCTAGAGAACAGCGACTAAAATATCCGGGTTGTTGGTGAATCATAATGTACTTTTATAATGTCCTAGCATGGATATATCTATTATTTGCGATACTATATGGTTGTTTTTAAATTGGTATAAAACTGATTGTAATAGATAGATAGATAGATTTTATTTTGACACGCTAACTATGTCAATTAAAAACATTGATTTCCACGATGGGTGTGTGTTCAAAAGTTATTATATATAAGTGTTGTTATGACTCTTATGGAATCAAGTAAAAGAAAATAGAAATAATCTAACTGTTCCAATTGACAAAATTGACAATATAGACATAGTAGTGGTAAACTGAATTTATCTCTACCAAAGTCTTGTTTGTTTCTTTCAGAACATATTTTTTGATTGGAGGATTTTTGTCGTGGTATAATTGTTGGTTTAACATATTGAAATTATTCTTTCAAGTTTTAGGCTTCTGGCACGTTTATATATAACCATTAAATCATGACAAAAGGCTCTTGGGCAATATTTCATATTGAAGCAATCCTATATAGTTGTTAAAAAAAAATTGTTAAAAAATAAATAAAAATTACTTTTAAATTCTTGAAACTGGAAGTATTTGAAACCATATAATTTTTGCATATATGTATATCATATTAATAATGTATCTACAATTCATATATGCCCTTTATAATACAACTAGTACAGTATAAGTCGACAGCTAAATTAATTATTATTATTGTTTCAGGAAATTGAATCAGACATTCAAATTCCAATTTCAAACTCATTCTCAATTTTAGAAGATGAATTAGTAAGTTCACAGTTACTCGTGTATATATTACCCATTTCATATATATACATGTCCTTAAATTGGGGAATAGAAAGACACTAAATGGAGCGGCAAAGGCCGGTGGTATAAAAGGCGTGGTAGAGTATTTTATAATAAAGTATATATTATCCCCGAGCCGGCGCCATGCGAGGGTACTAATTCCCCCCGGCTATTTACACCCAGGGAAAAGTTCATCAATGAGCGCGGGCGTCGGTCACCAACGATGGGTGGTCATCCTCACTGATCTCAAAAATATGGCGGACTGTCATGAATAACGGACACTGATTGGTCCAATTTAAAGTTTGCATTATAACGACTGCATGACGACAGCGAAATAGCAAACATGTCTTGATTTGATGATTGATAAATTTTTTGCAAATATATTTCGTTTTTGCTCGTATTTCTGCAAGATTTTGTAAATTTCAAGAAAGAAAGGGCGAAAGAATCAGTTAAAAGAAGGGAGCCAACGTTAACGAAGGTAAGTTTGTTTTAAATATTGATTTTATAATGGCTTTAAAACCCGACGGCCTTTGCGTATATGAAACATGAACTAAACAATACAGCATATAATTTCAGTGTATCTTTAATATTGATTCCCTTTTTTATTATATTGAATTTTTTAAATAAAAAATAAAGCAAAGTTATTTGCAAGTGAGAATTTGAAATCATTTTATTGCAAACTCAAAGTTTATTGATAAAGCCATTTAATAGTTAAAGGCAGTTTAGTTTTATAAAGAACACTTTAAAACGTTTTGTGAATTGTTTGTGGTTGAATTTTACCTTAAATTGAAGCTTGTATTACGTATAATTACATACCTAACATATATATGTTGGGAAATTGATAATTTTGTAATTAGAAGTGATATTTTTAGACGATATTCATTTGTAAGAATATTCTTAAAAAATTATCGTGTTACCTTGACAACTACTTTAGATACTTCATGTTCGGAAAATACAACGGTTTTGTCAGCAAGGCGAGGGGGTTTCTGCATGATTTTCTAGTTTAATACGAAATATAGTGCATTAGTGGTTAAATAAAGAGTTAAGAGTTTCATACAACCGATTGCAATGGCATGCCATTGAAATGGCACTTCATGGATAATAGTTTGTTAGCACAGAGTTTGTAGTGTTTGGTTCTGACAAAGTAAACTGAACTATGTGTACAGTAATAATTAGTCCATAACTTATGCATACAGTTGATCAATATTTTAGAATTCAATAAGTGTTCAATAGTTGGTTTTACATGTTTCCTTCCGTGCAAATAGTAACGATCAGTTACAATTTTGAGTACGTTCAACTAGCTATAATAATATTTTATTATATATAGTGCCAAGCTAGCGATATAGAATGTGATCTACAAAGTGAAGAAAATGTTATATGGACTAATAATGTGAGTACATACATAATATTGAATAATCGAATACATGCATATACGTAGTAATCAGGGGCGTAGCTAGACCGCTAATAGGGGGTGCATATATTTGTGTTCTGCCCAATGGATTTCTTTTGAAAATTGTTGTTTACGATATATGCATGTGAACATAAATACATGAATATACCCCTCCAATTATCCCGCAGGTAGTAATATCGAACTATAAATATATATTTCGAGATGATAATTAATTTCTACAGGTAATCGGATCTATCATTCCAGTTGATGAACGTACATTTCTATCATCACGTGCCAAGTTAGGGAGAAGGAACCGTAGAGCAAAATCTTTTAATGAAGCGGTAAGAGGTTCAAAACCAAAATTTAATTTAGATGAATTCCCAGAATTAGAAAATGAAGAAGATACAAGTGATGGTATGTCTGATTACATAAACCAATCTAGTTCAAAAGGGAAGCCTAAACGAGATGGTATGACAGAAGAGAACGGCAGTACATATGTCCCTCCAAAATGTAAACAAGAAATGCCGATTCGTATTGATGAAAGGAATCCAACCATTACAATCGATACTGGAAAGCGAAAGAATGAAAGTTTGTTGCCAGTCCGTGCCCGTACTACAAAAAGAACAAGACGAATACCGAGAAAGTACACACCAAACAGTACTAAAAACAGTGTTTATTGCCTTTGCCAAATAGAGGATAGTGGATGGTATATAGTTTGTAGTTTTCAATATGCCGGCTGTTTGATTTATTACCATCCAAAGTGTGTTGGTCTTGGTCATTTACATTCTCGAGACAATGGTGCAAGGTACAGTAATTGTGACGATGGCAAGTCGTATATGTGTCCTGTATGCGATAAAAAAAAGAACACCGTAGGCAGACCCATGCACATCGCTACGCCATTGACCCAGAATGGAAATTTGTCTGAAGGACGTAGACAAGAAGGGTCGTATGAGAATTACCGCTCCAGTTGTAGCTCTAGTTGTAGCACAAAAGCATCGGAAGATAAAGATGAAGGTGGACTAAGCGAAAAGGAAAGCATAACATCCAATCAGAGTAATACTAATTCAGCGCAACCTTCAACCTTCAAACACCTGGAAGATCACTGTGAGAACACACAACAACCCTCGCATGGTACAGATATTGGTAGTGTAGGAGATGCGTCAGACGATGATGCATTGATGACTCAAATACATGTTTTCCCGCCAAAGAGGAAACAGAGAAGCCAAGCTGTGTTGAAGGAAATGTAAGCAAAGATCCTCCAAAGATGAACAATACATATTTTCCTGAAGAAAATGATCAAATTTTCGTAGCACAAATGTTTGACAATGACGGATGGAATTCAGACAACTTCAATCGTATGGATGGATCGGACGGATGGAATTCAGACAACTTTGCCAATTGTATTAAGCCAACTGCCGGCAAGCTAAATAAATTACAATCTTCGTGGACCAACGTAATGGCTCGATATATGGCAGAATCGAATGCTTACTGCACTTTTCATTTTCATGGACATTTCATGCAAAAAGCAAATTCTAGGAAAAGGCGGTATGTATATGCATTTAAGGCAGAAGGATTTTGCATTTTCGAAGATTGTGGGTGGGATTTCGAGTTAACTATGAAAAAACAAGATTGTGAGCAAAAAATTGTGAACGTAACATATAGTGGTTCAGTAAAGCATGCAACTGCATTCACGTTTCATTAAAGACGACGAACGAAATGAATTGAAAAAACAGTTTCATAAAGGTCCTGACAAACCAGCAATGGTATATCAAGTTAAAAAAGCAGAATTGCCAAGCGATGCCATGGCTTCAGGTAACAGAATGGGTTGTGGGGTTCAACTGACAACTATGCAGAAAATCGCAAGTGAAGGTCGTCAGCTATCTCAAATGGATAGGGACATCACTAAATCGTTGGATAAGATTAGACAAAAGCTGATAGAAAAAGAATCTTCCCGCGAACGTCCGCCCAATCCTGGACATGGTGGGTTTGTTCACACGATCGGCTATCATCCGCTAATTGTTCACATGTGGATTGAAGATGAAGTACGACTATGGCATAGTAGATGCGGTGATGATATATCGTATTTGGATGCAACAGGAACAATAGTTGCGAATTACAATGGCAAAAGAGTTTTATACTACGGCCTAGTGGTCCGACACCCAAATGAAGGAGATCCTGCAGTAGCAGAAATGATTACGAGTGATCATAGCTCTGGCAATATATGTGCGTTTATCGAGAGATTTAGGCGCGATGAGTCCAGAATATATAGCGGACAGTTAACTTCCCCAAGGCAATTGAATACAGATTATTCCAAAGCAATATTGCTGGCAGTGCTCAAGGAATCCAACAACGAAACATTAGAAACATTTCTTCAACAAGCTTTTCGCATTATAAACAAGAGAGGAACGACAAGAGATTACGAGCTCACAATTCCACATGTAGGATGCAGTCATTTCATGCATATAGCACACAGGAAGATCAAACAATTGGCACGTTCTACGGAGAACGAAAGGTATCACAATAGCATGTATTCTGTGCCTTATTAGTGAATGCACGAACATTATTACACAAATTTGTCACTATTCTGGAAAATATAGTTGTATGTCTATCTTGTAAGAAGCAAACTAAAATGTGTTTGGTCTCGTTCCGTAAACATTCAGGGCGTGTGAACCACATGGAGAAAGAATCTAATATAAATCTTAAGGATTTTGAAACAGAGAAGGAAAGTGTGACTAAGCAAAGCCAAGAACATGACATTGAGAATGAGACAAAACCTGGAAACCCCTTAGTTGACTATTTCGAGACGAAGTTAAGCGACATAGAGAAACGTGTTGAGAAAGATAGTATGCAGGCACCCGATGCATTAGCAGATAATAGAAGCTACTCCCTGCAATTCTTGACATTTATCAAAAAGTACCTCACAGAAATGCCATTATGGTCAGGCGTATTATTAGGAAGATTGGATCGATACAGAAAAGATCCTTGTACAACTAAAAAAACGGGAAGTTAATAATTTTCTATCATTTTCATCCGCTAACGCTAAATCACAAGGTTATATAGAAGGTGCAATGAGAAATCTTAAACAAGAAGACTTTAGCGGAAGAAAACGTCTTAGAGCAGATACTTTCGTTCATGAAAATTACTCGCGAATAAGAAGACGTTTACGTGACTATGGTGATAGATTACACAGTCGTCTTAAGCCCGAAAGAAAGAGAGCGTACAAGACGAAGAAAAAGAAGGAAGATAGCGACGGCAACCTTTCCAGCACAGTTGAAAGCATCAGTTCACGGAAGGAAAACTATCATGATGCCCAAGAAAAATGGGGTAAGAAAGATCCAGAAACTCCAAAACATAATCCAAGACTTGGGCAATTCCAACAATCTCCAAAGATACCGTTGAGTAGTAAACCAGACTTTAAAAAGGGAAAGTCTAAAAGAAAGATTCATCCATCATGTTCTGAAACACATAGAAAACCTAATCAAAGAATGAATGCATGTAGTTATGATGAACAGAAACCTGACAAAATGCCTTCTAAAATTAATATGGGTGTGTCATCAGAGCAGGAAAATGCAAGCAGAGGAGTAAAATGTGCTCCTAAAAGTGTTCTCAAAAATGAAGGTCCAGCTAAATCCAGATTAACAAGGAAGGAGACAAACCGAAAATGGGAAAAAATGGACAGAGTGTATATACCTACACGACGGAGATGAAGAAGATAATGCTGAGAGGGATATTAGTACAAAACGTAATCTTTCCAGCACAGATGAAAGCATCAATTCACGAAATGAAAACAGTCATGATGCCCAAGAAAAATTGGGTAAGAAAGATCCAGGAACGCCAAAACAGAATCCAAGAGTTGGACAATTCCAACAATTCCCAACGATACCATTGAGCACTAAACCAGACTTTGAAAAGATTAAGTCAAAAAGAAGTGTTCATCCAGCTTGTTCCGAATCACATATAAAAAAAAAAAGAAAAGTGAACGCATGTAGTTATAATGAACAGAAACCTGGCAAAATGAATTCTAAGATGAATACCAGTGTGTCATCAGAGCAGGAAAATGCAAGCAGAGTAGTAAATGGTACTCGTAAAACTGTTCTCAAAAGTAAAGGTCCACCTAAATCAAGATTAACAAGGAAGGAGAGAATCGAAAATAGGAAGAAATGTACTTTCTTCTATCTTCGATTATGGAACACGATGTTAAAGGGAGGCAACGAAAAAAGATTATATGAAATAATATCAAGAACTCGTCAAATGATCGACTATGAGGCATGTGATTACATATTGATCCCAATTAATATCCACAACCACTGGACAGCAGTGGTGATCAACATTTGGAACACGCAAATGTTTTACTATGATCCCATGGGCAAAGGAATCCAAAATGAGACAGTAATAAAATTATTCAAAGTTTTTTTTTAGCTCTTCTACAAGTGCAATAAAACATGCGATATTGAAATAGAGTCAAAGGGTTTCATAAAAGACTTTGATGTAATATGGGAAGAAAAATTTCCAAGCCAAAAGGATTCTTGTTCACATGCACATATTAATTGGCTTATAATATATGAGACGTGCAGTATCAAGTTTGAGCGGGATTTTCGTTCATTTTCAGGCTTGCACCACTTACGTGTTAGACACCATTTGAAAGAGCATGTAATTTGATACAATATATGAAAGTTTAAGAAAATCCTATAGAATAGCGGGCAAGATTTTTACAATTAAACAGACAGTTGTTCAATGCTCACATGCATATATTAATTGGCTTATAATATATGAGACGCGCAGTATCAAGTTTGAGTGGGATTTTCGTTCATTTTCAGGCTGGCACCACTTACGTGTTAGTAACCATTTGAAAGAGCATATAATTTTATACAATATGTGGAATTTAAAAAAATCCTATAGAATAGTGCGCACGATTTTTACAATTAAACATACAGTTGTTGAAAGCTCTTATGTAATAGGCTTATAATATAAGAGGTGCGAAGTACAGTCATGTTTGAGTGGGATTTTAGTCCATTTTACGGCTGGCACCACTTACGTGTTAGTAGCCATTTGAAAGAGCATATAATTTTATACAATATATGAAATTTTACGAAAATCCTATAGAATAGTGCGCAAGATTTTTACAATTAAACAAACAGTTGTTCAAAGCTCACATACATATATATTAATTGGCTTATAATATACGAGACGCACAGTATCAAGTTTGAGTGGGATTTTCGTTCATTTTACGGCTGGCGCCACTTACGTGTTAGTAACCATTTGAAAGAGCATATAATTTTATACAATATATGAAATTTTAAGACAATCCTATAGAATAGCGCGCAAGATTTTTACAATTAAACAGACAGTTGTTCAAAGCTCACATGCATATATTAATTGGCTTATAATATATGAGACGTGCAGTATCAAGTTTGAGTGGGATTTTCATTCATTTTCAGGCTTGCACCACTTACGTGTTAGTAAGCATTTGAAAGAGCATATAATTTGATACAATATATGAAAGTTTAAGAAAATCCTATAGAATAGCGGGCGCAAAATCTACAAATTAAATGCAGGGAGTTCCTCGCAACGCATATATAATTGGCTTAGTGTATCAGATGCGCGTAATTATACAGCCAAATTTGAGTGGGATTTTCGTTCATTTTACGGCTGGCACCACTTACGTGTTAGTAACCATTTGAAAGAGCATATAATTTTATACAATATATGAAATTTTAAGAAAATCTATAGAATAGCACGCAAGATTTTTACAATTAAACAGACAGTTGTTGAAAACTCATATGTAATAGGCTTATAATATAAGAGGTGCGAAGTACAGTCATGTTTGAGTGGGATTTTCGTTCATTTTAAGGCTTGCACCACTTACGTTTTAGTAACCATTTGAAGGAGCATATAATTTTATACAATATATGAAATTTTAAGAAAATCCTATAGAATAGCGGGCAAGATTTTTACAATTAAACAGACAAAGCTCACATGTATATAATTGGCTTATAATATACCAGGCGCGAAGGACAGTCCTGTTTGAGTAGGATTTTCGTTCTTTTTCAAGCTTGTACCGCTTATGTGTAAGTAACCATTTGAAAGAGCATTTAATTTTATACTATATATGAAAGTTTAAGAAAATCGTATAGAATAGGGGGCGCAAAATCTACAAATTAAATGCATGAAGGTCCTCGCAACACATATACTGTATAATTATTAACTATGGTATATCAGATGCACATAATGCAGTCCAATTTGAATGAGATTTTCGTTCATTTTAAGGCTTGCACCACATACTTGTAAGTAACCATGTAAAATAGCATATAAATTTGTACAAGATGTGAAAGCTCAAAAAAATTGTATACAATAGAGTGGACACGCCTGGCATTCTTGCATGCGAAAACGCTAGTTCGCCATTCAGGCGGTGTGCGCAATACGACCGCAAAGCGTGATGGGGTTTTCGCGCCTGAATTGCAATTGCACCTCATTTGCATTTTGCTTTGACCGAGTGAACATCAGAGACAATCAGTGTCAGCGAAAATAAATACTCTAATTTAATATTCTTCGATGGGAATCAATTGCCTTTATTCCCACACATAAAGAAATATGGTAATAAGGTGCATATCAGCGAATTTTATGGACGAATTGTGGCAGTCGACGCTTCGTGTTGGATCCATAAAGCGTTAGCAATTTTATCACAACATGGCAAATATCTCGAAAGGTGAGTTATAAATATAGGTACTATTTGAACATTTACTGAGAGTGAACCAAGTTGAGTGCTTACAATACATAAAATAAAAGCAATCAGAAGCATTTAATTATTATATATTGTTGTATATGCTTTAAGTAAACACTACAAATGGAATCACTCCAGCTTTTTGTATTGAAGATAAGTATTTAGTGAAAATATGTAGTAATTACCTATAAAATAGTCCAATATAGTATCGATACTATTAATAGCTAAAAACAAAAATGATACAAAAATATTCAGCCTTTGTGTTTGCGAACTTGACTTATCTGCAGAAGGTAAGGATGGGAATTTCATTAGTTACCATTT